TGGTCACAGTAACCGTGAGGTTAAATTTTCACACCGTGACAACCCTAATACAGACCATTTTAGATTAGGTTACCTTTCCTTTATTCCCAGATTATGTAGTTTGGAGCACTCATTATAATGTTGTACAAAATTTCTGGCCAATCCACGTGATCGGTATCGGTGATCGGTATTGGTGATCAGCATTGGTGATGTCATCCCTACAATTAGCATCACAGGCGTCAAGGGCGTAGGAATGAGTTTTGGAAATCTAACAAATCTGTTGTAGGTCAATATATATGTCAACCTCACTGAAAAAAAAAACATTTAATGATTATTTCTGATTCTAACGTGTCACTGAGTGTTTCATGCAGGCTGAACATGAACATAGTCTCCTACCGCTATCTCCTGCATTAGCTTCTGATACACGGTGAAACTCTAGGATTAGAAAAGCCTAACAGATGTGACTCAAGGCGTAAGGCAAAGCCCAGAAAGACAAGAAAATAACTTTTATAGCCCAGTTCACTAACGTTCTGTTTTTTTTTTTTTTGATCGGGGACCCATGAGCCAGCCAGAAGGGGAGGAGACTTGGTCTCCCCTTTAGCCAGATCCAGGTGATTACCGGCCAACGTGGACGTTTTAATTATAAAAAAGCTGTTTATGTGTCAGTACTGTTTTATTTTTATTTAATAATATGAATGTAGGATATTTTATCTTATTCATATGGGTAGAGATGTGTAAACAGATTTAATACAAGACTAAAGCTGTGAATATTCAGTCTGAATTGAGCTGACTCTCATCAGAATATTTTAAACTACATCAGCCAACAATGCTGACCAACACTCAGAAAAATCTGTTTGCTTCTGACAGAATGAAAAAAGAAATAATTCACTCACAACAACAGCTGGAACTGCATTAATTTTCAGATGGACAAAAGAAAAAACAGTGGCCAAAATTGCAGTCTAAGTGCACCAGAAAGCAGAGTTTAACACTTATTTTCTAATATGTCTAAGGAAGCATTTATTTTATTCTTAAGCCGTACTGCCCAGCTCTACTTGTTGGGATTAAATACATTCAACTGTGTTCACTTATTATCACATCCAAATCTTCCTCTCATCAGCCACCTAAAATCATCTCACTCTTCACTGTCGCACCTCAGCTGGGTCTGGCTCTCCCTGTCTCACCCTCAGCTGGTCTGGCTCTCCCACCCATTTCCCCCCCCCCCCCCCCCCCCCCCCCCCCGGTTCCTACGCCCTTGACAGGTGTCTACAATCTTGTAATTAGTCAACAGGCCTATTCATAGGGCTCCAGGTGGTCACTATGTTGTTTGGTGACATGGTGTTTACCACTCAACATGGACCAGAGGAAGTGAATAAAAGAGTTGTCTCAGGAGATGTTCCTGTGACTAGTTTCACACATTATTCAGAAATTTCAGATCCATGGGACTATAGCCAACCTCCCTGGACGTGGCCGCAGGGAAAAAAATTGATGACAAATTAAAGACACTGATATTCTGAATGGAACCAAAAGAGCCCAGAAAAACTTCTAGAGAGATCCAAGGTGAACTTCAAGCTCAAGGGTCAGTGTCAGATCGCACCATCCATCATTGTTTGAGCCAAAGTGAACCAACCACATGGGAGATGACTAAGGAGGATACCATTGTTGAAAAGAAATCATAAAAAGCCAGACTGGAATCTGCCAAACTACATGTTGACAAGCCACAAAGCTTCTGGAGAATGTCCTATGGATAGATGAGACAACAATTGAACTTAATGCCAAGGCACATCAGCTCTATGTTCACAGAGAGAAAAATGAAGCACATTTGTTTTGTTTATAATTTCTTTCATGGAGGCGCCCCTCATTACTTAGCAACGCTCCTGAAACGATATGTCCCACCATGCTCTCTGCGCTCCTCTGATCATGGCCTGCTAGTTGTCCCTCGTACTAGGTATCGGACTCGTGGAGACTGGGCTTTTTCATTTCTTGTGCCATCACACTGGAACCAGCTACCACAGTCAGTTAGGCAGTCTACTTATTTGTCAGTCTTAAAGTTGCCTGAAAACATTTTTTTTGTTCAGCATTTCATGAAAATGCTTGAAGTTGGCTTACTTTTATATAGTTTTGATTCTTTGCTTTTAATTCTGTTGTTTCATGTTCAATGATTTAATCTCTTTTATCATGATTGTATTTTGTTCTTCAGCGCTTTGGCATCTTGTAATGGGTGAGGAAGGTGCTATATAAATAAAGCCTTGATTGATTGACATATTGCATAACAAGAGAAGAACCCTACTGTTAAACACGCAGAAGTCGTGTTGACAGTTACAGGACAATCATTTGATTGCCTCAAAAGGTTGTGAAACAATATATTAAATTAGTGGTACCATCATTTTAGTCCTGGCCTGTTCCCCAAGTTTATTTTATTTATTCATTTTTTAAATAATTCTGTTGAAGCATGGATTAAAAGCAAGGTCTGACTTTCATTAAAAAAATTTTTATTATCGGTATTACTTTAGTCAGTTTCAAGTTATTTCTGTGATCATTGTGGGCTATTCTTTCATTGACCAAAGGGTACTGTATATCCGCCCAGTTAAAGCACATCCATCAATCATCTTATCTTCTTTACCTTTAGTGCAGCCACAGGGAGCTGGTGTCAATCTCCAGCGGTCATTGGGCGAGAGGTGGACACACTTTCACCTTTATAGCCTCCAATCAACCTGATATGCATGTTTTCAATTTTTGGTAGAAGACTAGGAGTATCTGGAAGAAACCCTCACATGCATTGGGAGAACATGCTAACTCCATGCAGGTGGGATTAAAACCAGCAACCAAAACCTGTGACCTTCTAGTTGTAAGGCAACTGTGCCACCATGCAGTCCTAGACCCTTTGGATCCATCTTTGGATGTATGGGAGAAAAAATGGATGACACTTATTACCATCATGGCCGGCTCTTATCTGCAAACTCCACCCACAGAGATACGTATTACAGAGGAACAAAGGGTGTGAGGGAATAATGGTGCAAAGTGACAAGTAATCTCACTTTAAGACCTGTATTTTATCACCTCAGTGGCATTCCCACTTGGGTGATCATGACTGGCGCTGCGCCCCAAAGCTCGGCCTTCTAATGAGCAAAGAAAGCAAAGATGTGTGATGCATGGCAGAAGCCCAAAGATTAACACCAGGCACTCAATTTACACAAGGAAGTTGCCTGGCTTCTGATTTCATTTTGCAGGTGGGAGAAAAGTTTGGAATAAAAGAGACGAAACCGATTAAAGAAATCCTAAGAGACTAAGAACAAACACATGGAAAGTTTAAATGGAGAACTGCAATCAAAACTAAAACAGCTTCAATACAAGGTGAAAAATCCCAAACTCCACTACTTCTTTTGAGTCCTCCTCTCCAAAATAAAACATTTCCTGAAGAGAGAGGAAAAAAACCCCAATACTATTTATCTTTATAATTCAAAGTGAAAAGAGGAGAAGATTATTTAAATGAATCAGTCACAGCTTTGGCTGATCTGAAGGAGCAGAGGAATTCAGAATATTGGAAACGATGTTTAGAGAAGACATCTTAATTATTAACTGCCAGACAGCCCATCCCAAACTAAGACTTATTTACGATATTGAAATAAACTGAGTAAACAATTGGTTTAACTTCAGCAAAACAAGCTTGCAATTGGCTCCAAAAAGTAAAACAAATCAACAGAAAGCCTACCCACTGAAATGGGCTCTGCAATATAGTTTGACAGGAAAATTAAATCAATTTCAGGCATCTGGCAGACAACATGTCTCTTTGGCTTTGAGTCGGAGCCACTTTGGCGAAAAGGAAATGAAAGCCTTTAGGTGCACGTCGGTATTCTGGTGTCCCGTAGGTTGGATGAGAGGGACTGTAATTAGTTGCTTCAATCCAACTGAAAGACATACTAATAACTAGCATGACAGATAGCAAACCATATATGCTTTAAAATGCAATACATGTTAAATCCAGTTGTGGAAAGAACAATACAGAACACATCTAATTCATTTTTTCCCCCAACAGGACTAAAACTAAAATTGTCAACGATGAGAACGGGAGAAGGGGCTCCCGGGTGCCCCTTCGCGACAGACCCAGTTGGACACATCATGGACTCCTGGAAACAGTGGAACATGATTTGTCTGAGCTGTCTGTGGAGGACTCTGAAGACGTGTAGATATTCGTGGTGTTGGTGTCAGGTTTCCTGCTCATTGGCCTTGGAGGCCGCCTGGCTTACCGGAAAATTAACAAGCTGTCGAGGAATATTGGCCTGATCCTGGAGCTCAGAGATGGTGGGATAATTTAATGTCCATTACTGGGATTTTGAGAGGTTGAGGACCAACAAACTGTAAGACAGAGAGGAAATTATCTCTGTCTGTTCCCAAAACAATTTGTAATCGGAATCTGGCGCCCTTGAGCCAGCAAGGCTCCAACGAAAACTCCCCCCTCAGAAGATATGTGGAATGTGCCGTTGCTATGGCAACTCAACTCTGTCTCCTATCCCAGCCTGGGCGGGACTGCGGGAAGGCCGCTGAAATGTTCCAGGGTCACTGTAACCCTCCAACCCTCAATGCTCCTCCCCCTTTCCACACTGAGGTGACATGCGCTGCTTCTATCATGGCTGCAGGAACTGAAGTGGGGATAGTCCCAACCCACCACCCCATCTAGTGGACACTTATGTTGTGTAATGTCTGAAGTCTGTTGCATATGTCTGAGGTGTTTTTTTTTTTTTGCAGAGCAAAGCTGCCCTCCTGGTGGAGGGTAGCTCTGAAGTGCCTTTTTTTCCCTCCACCTGAACCAACCCTCATGCAACCCTCTTATCTCTACTAAGGTAGCGCGACTCAGGGTTGCGAATGACCACAGTCACCAGTTCTTGTCATGTGTCTTGCCCATGTATATCTGATCTCTGAATTGTGTGTACTGAAACTCTAATTTCCCTCTGGGATTAATAAAGTATCTTTGATTGATTTTTGATTGAACTAAATTTGATTAGGTTCTAAAAATAAACCAGGTGTGAGAAGTGTGGAACAATTTTATTAGGATTGTGAAAAACAAAGTGCCAAGAAATGTAAACTGCAGAAGAATGCATTGCTTTAACATCAGGTAATATCCATGTCATACAAAACAGGACAACTATGGTGTCAGTTTCCAAAACCGGCCCACATCCAGACTGAATGGGCATGTAAATACACCACCACCAATACCACACCCACCGGAAAAAAACCCTAAAACTTAACATCCTGCCCTCTGATTGGTCCTTATTTTGCTTCAACAAAATTGATTTTTACTTTATGAATTAACAGTAAGTAACTAAAACAGGAAGTGGTTCTGTGAGCAGTTCATTAATGCTTCAAGTACAAGTGCAACAAAAAACTGGTTACATTCTGGTCTTACATGTGTGGGTTTGGAATAAATGTAACCTGTAATATGTTAAACAAAAGTCAAATCAAATGTACATATGTCACAATCACATGTTTCATGCTAGAACCATATAAAATTGTCAAGCAAGCTCTGTTTTGGGTATGCCAGTAAACCCAAAACAACATTATTTTCTTTACCTAAAAACAACCAAAGATTTTGTGAAAAAAACTTTACTCAGACCAGATGAAAGTAGTTTGGTACAATGTTGATGTTAATATTAGGAACAAATCATTGCTTATTCCACAAAGCATACATTTTACATGGATGCAAGGTGAAGGCAAGCTGGTAGATGTAAAATATCAAATGTTAGAAAATTTGTGTTTGGTTGATTGTTTTGTTGTCACAACGTTTTTTCTCTGGTGGCACCATCTAGAGGTTGAGGAATGTATTGTACTTTAAAGCCCTCTCCCTGCTTTCTTGCCTACAGCTGGACAGAATGCCCCTCACATATGAAAGCGAAAGTGTTATTGGCTGAATTCCTCCCCTTGAATATTTGCCACATAATTTCTATTTCGTGGAAAATGAAGATATTTTTTAAAATTTTCAGTACAAAAACATCTGAGACTGTTGTTACAACCTTGGGCATTTATAATGACAAAATAAAAGTTTTTATGCACAGAGTGCATTAAGATTTTATTGTACAGCTAGGTCCTATAACCTAACTAATCTGGTATAATCTACTACAACATCCATAATAGCATAACATATTACAAGTGATTAAAACAATAAAATGCTTCACAAGGCTACAAATTAAGAAGCTAATTAAATATATATAAATGCTCATATACATTTCTGATTCACCAGAACCATCCTTGCTGTGCTCGCGCTTTCCTTCACGTCTGCTGCATCAGAAAGGTTCTGAGTGCTTGTAAACCTCATAAAGTACTTGCAGAACACAGCATGCTTGACAGCTGGCTGACTTTGCATCGTCCCTCTGCAGTAACCTCAGATCCTGTCAGTGAACAACATCTACAGATAATTAGAGGCTGCTCCACTCATCCAACACATCTCGAGAGTCTGTGTGAAATTTGTGCCTTCTAACTATCGCCGGGGTGGCCGTCAGCAAGTAGAACTGTTGTCTGACGCCTACTGGCATTTTGGGTGCAACAATCATCTGATATTAGACGTCTGCTGTTGGACCACCCACAGAATGAACAGCAAATGTAAACAACTGAAAACAACAATCCTTTAGAAAGTCTAGGCTGAGGTGTCCACTGTTGAGGGTTTAAAGATGGTTTGGCTCTAGATCCCATAGTGGTCAGAAATGAATCTCTTATCTAAACTAAGAATTTTTCTAACTCATGTGAAATATGGCAGTCTATGAGTTAAGATGAAAGTTTTACTTACTGGAAGCCATTTTTGACCATTTTATAATTATAAACTTAAAAAAAAGATTCAGATAACCTTGACTGGGATAAAAATCGATTAAAATATTTAAATATAGCTTTGTTTGGTACAAAACATCTATATTTTGACACTAAAAATCCCTTCGAATAAAATTTATTGCAAAGCTACTTGTAACGCCTCATTTACACTGAGCATGGAGCAGGTGCGGTCCAGACCCCCTAAATTTTCCGCATTAACCAAAAATCATTGCGCCCAATCAGAGCCTCTGAAAGTTTTTGACTGGATGCTGATTGTCATGAAGTTAGAAAATAGCATGTGCCAGTGAAGTGCTTTTGGTATATTTCTAAATTAGACCTGTTTTGTATTATTTGTATTCTCTTTCCATTTATTTCACTATGAAGGGCATCAGTTCACAGTGGTCCATAGTTTGCATTAGTCTTACAGGTATATCGGTAATCGTATTAGGTCAAATTTTAATAGTTTCATCTTGTGGGAGCAAAATTCTGGAGACACTCTGCCCACGTTCTTTGATCCGTATAAATCGCAATTCATCCCACAGTTGTACGAAAACCGGGCCGCATCCATTCCATACTCGATGTGAATAACAATTCTTCTCCCGTTAAACTTTCTGCGCTTCATTAGTGGTTTGCATGGTCCTCAGGGGAAGCTCGTCTGAAATGTCCACGTGGTTTCCGTAGGCATGAGACTCATCCTCCTCGTGCTGGTGCTTGGCAAAATTCACAAAGACCTGCAAGAAAAAAAAATAGTTGAACCGCAAAATCACAAAACAATTTAATAATGCATCAAGCACAGCAGTTAAGAGCCTGTGGATATTTTTTTATCAATCTCATATTTGCTCTCCCATTCCTCCGGTCTTTAAAACCAACAGAGAGTCATTCAGCCCACGGGGTGCATGGGCTGGCATAAAAGAGCCACGAGACATCAGTAAGCGCCCGGACTCACACAGTGATGTCAGCGTGACATCTCTGACCAGCTGAGAGAGAGAATAAAACAATCATTCGTCTCTCTGTGATGCACATTTAATATAAGACAAAATCAATCGTATGGCTTTCATAAAAGGCTGTCTGCATTTCATTGAGCTGTAAACAGCAGCCGAGTGCATTAGTGATAAGGCTACACGAAAACTTTCACTCTGCCGAGAAAAAAAGCAGCAAAGAGGATCGTGTAAAATGATAAGAGCATTGCTTTTTCATTAAACTGATTTCATTGGCTGTTTGGAAGTAAAAGGATGTGATTTATGAGTCAGTTCTCCACAGGAAAAAGATCATCCAGGGCCCTTCCACCAGAAACTGTTTTTAACAATGACTTTTTTTTAGATAATTACTAAAATTCACCTCTTAAATAGAGAAACCAACCGAGCGTGAGATAATCAGAGAAAACAAATGTTTTTTTTTCATTTAATGTATCTAAAGAAATATTTAGTTTTGTTCAAGTTTTTTTTTAGATTTTCTTTTTAATTAGTTTTTTTTATTCTTTCTTTTATGAAACCTGCACAGACAGCTGTTACAGAGGAGGAATGAACTGGATTACAAACAACATTTGAACTTTTCCATTTTTGGTTCTTTTTTAAACACAGGTAAGGTTTTCTTTACCTTGCTGATGGTTTCGTTTGCGGCTGCAAACGTCTTCATAAACACATACAGGAAACCAACACACACAGACCAATATCTATTATGGACATCAGAACACCCTACCATACACAAAATGTCAGTAATCAGAACATTATATCACCGAGCAAACATAATACAGAAGAGAGAGACCGTAAACAAGAGGACAAACACATACAACATGCTTTAAAGACCTGCGCATACCCGACATGGGCGATAAACAAGGAAAACAACAAACAACAACAGAAAGAAAAGAACAACCTAAGCAAAGAACCAGAAACCCCAGAAAAACAAGAACCAAAACCAGTGATAACCCTACCATACATCAAAGGCATAGCAGAAAAAATAAGAGCAACAATGAAAAAACACAACATAAACACACCAACAAAACCATACACAACAGTTAGAAACAGACTAGTGCACCCAAAAGACAAGATACCAGCTGGATATAAAAGTGGAGTCATCTCCGAAATCCCATGCAAACTCTGCAATAAAACATACATAGGAGAAACCGGACGCCAACTCAATACACGAACAATAGAACACAGAAAGGAGTGCGAGAAAGAAACAAGTCGAAAACACACAAGAGCAGCAAAACAAGAAGCAGAAAGCACAATAAAGAGGTCAGCCGTAACAGATCACTGCACAAGAGAAAACCATATAATGGACTGGGACAACACACGGATCATAACCACCGAACAACAGAAATACAAAAGATGGATAAAGGAAGCCATAGAGATAAGGAGACGTGGATGTGGGACCATGAACAGAGACGATGGGGTTTACTCATTGGATCGCGCATGGGACTGCATCATCGGAGAGGGGAGGGTGAGCAGCAGAGGGCGACAATGTCCTTTGCTGCCTGCGGATAAACGGAGAAGGAAGTGATGCTACCATCAGCGTCAGCTTTGAAGACGTTTGCAGCCGCAAACGAAACTGTCAGCAAGGTAAAGAAAAACCTTATCTGTGTTTAAAAAAGAACCAAAAATGGAATTTGAAGACAAACACAGCAAGAATGTACAAAAGAACATTTGAACTATTTTAACTAACTTCACCAG